TAACCAAATCTCTTAAAATTATACAGAACGTTGAACAATCATTGGAAAATGTACCAAACCATGTTGGAGAAATTATTAAAAATAAAATGAAATGTGTTTTAAGCAAAAATCCGGATATCAAAATATTATTGAAAATTGCTGAAATACTTAATGGAAGTGAAACTTCAAAAGACAGTTTACCAGCTGAACTAACAGCAGATGAATGTGTATGCGCCCATCACGTCTGTTGATGTTGAAAAAAGTTTTTCGGCTTACAAAAGTGTGTTATCTGATAATCGACGCAAGTTTCTATTCGAAAACCTTAAAAAAACCCTTATCGTTCAAATCAACTCAAGTATGTATAAAAAATAACTAAAATTTAAATTCCAATCAATACACATTTTATGTATATTTGTATCTTTTTAGTAAAAACAAAATTATATATTAATTTACTGTAAGTACCCATGTAAAATTCCAAAATCTCATATTTTATTCAAGTTTAAAGTTATAAAACTAGTTGTATATTAATTTAGAATACATTTTTGTTAAGTAATAAAATTTTAAAATGGCATATTTTGATATTTATTGAGCATATTTGCATTCATTTTTTAATGCTTTTAAGGTCATAAACATCCTAACCTTAATAATGACTTAAGTGTATAAATTGCAAAATAACGTATTGGTATCACTAGGTATTACCTCGCCACCTCGGGTATTAGTGGTATTAAAGCACAAACTAAACTGATTATCTCATAATTCATATTATGTTGGACTCAGGTTTTATTATAGTACTAGCCCTCCGTTCTAGTAGTATTATATTATTTATACATCRTTAAGATAAAGCTCTAATCGTTATTGCCGTCAAATAGTTGTAGACCGCATATGACGTATAGAAACATGTATGGCAGACGGCAAGTGTGCGGTAGACTACATATGACAAGAATACCTTCTTTTATTTARTAATAACATTTAGAAATATTTACCACTTTCAATAACTTCATCAACATTCTTTCCTTTCAGTTCTTTGACAACGAGACTAAGTTTAGCAGAGTCAGATTCAATACCAACGGAACTAAGGATTTTTTCAATTTCATCACTGGAAGGTTCTTTTCCACTGAAAGAAGCTAACAAGTATGCAGCCACGTAACGCATTCTAAAATATAATAAAATATAAATAATAACTGAGAACAATGTTTGCGTTTGTAATAATTTAATTTGCTTTCAGATAATATTGATCATTAATAAAGAATCAGCTGAAAGATGGCAATAAAATTAATCATCATTAGCAGTATAACATTCAATATAAGTTATATGAGGAGTCTACTACATACTTATTATTTTTATATAACATTATAACATAAATTATGTACAGATGGACTTGAAGGTTTGTTGCTATAAAACAATAAATCCGATTAGTATACTTTTGTAGTAAGTTTCCAAATTCTGATTGGAGATATTCTATTAAAATATCCAATCAGATAAATCTGTTAAACATGAAAGATGACAATAATTAATGTATTCTACACCTAAATCAAGATTAATTTAGTTGATTTTTTTTTTGTTGTTAATAGATCAATAATATTGTAAATTGACTTGAAAAAAAAAAATTCTAGTAATTAAAAATATTGTCAGAAAATAAATTCATCAATTTGAATCAGCCGAAAGATGGTACTGTAATTATTCACCATTATTTAGTCATATAAATGAATCTATAATTTAGTATTATGAAATGCTTATCACATTTATTATAATAAAAATTMAATTGTGATATACAGATGGGTTTATTTCTAAAAAGCTGTCCTTGGAAAGCTGTTTAATAAGTTATATACCTGTTTCTGATCAGTAGGTATTGTTTAATATTAAATACAAACAAGAAAATGTCTGCTAAATATGCTTATATCCTATAATCCAAGGGATATGTACCTACAATAGGTTTGGAAAAATTAATCAAATGTGTTGTTTTTTATATAACACTAGTGAAAGGTTATTACACTCATGTTTTTCAAAATATTAGTATAAGAATTTATAATAGGTTGTCTTTAA